TGTTTTGTTTGAAAACAAAAAATTCTTGGTCTGTTTTTTTTTTTTTTTTTTTTTTTTTTGGGGGGGGGGGTTATCTGAAAACATGTTTTAGTTCATTTTTGGCCCAAAGCTGTTCCATTTTCTTTAGCTTAAAATGTGATTTTTTATTTTTTTTTTAATGAGTTGACTGTATGTTGGGGGGGGGAAGGCACTGGAGCAAATTATGGATGTCTTGATAATAAATCTATGCGAGTAGAACCTGCCTTTTGTATTCAAATGTTGAAATTACCAGGAAACAATTGCTGGTTCTTACCTTAAAGAAGTCAGCTGCCTGTGTGACCAGAGGAGAATCCATTTCTGGTTTAGAGCGGATGTAGTGGGAATACTGGAGAAATTCCTCCCTCTTTGGATGCATGGGGTAGAGGGGGAAATAAAAACATTACAGTGTGTTTTTACATTAGCTGTCATTTAAATAAGCACAAGGTAAAATATGAAGTGTAAACTGAATAATATACAGTTTATTTGAACCTCATTTACATTTTTATTGATGTTTTGCACAACCAGTTCAGATGGAAAGGTTGAGTACTTAAAGACAACTCAACTGAAATTGATCTGTGATATAAAGCTCACATTTTGTTGCTGAATTGAGGGGATCTTTCTGTGTTTTTAAGATTTCTGGACTCCATGTGTTTACATCAACTTAATTGTCATAAATATTTAAACGAGGCAAACTTCAGATGGGCCTTAATTTTATTTAGCGAAAATACAGTTTAAAAAAAGAGGTTTGAATCATGTTTTGTGTAACATTTGCTCTGTATGTAAAAAAAAAAAAAAAGAACAGAAAACAAAACACAGTTCTAATAAATTATGTTAATTTGAACCTCACAAGCTTTGCGGGCAGGGTTGCTTTAACAACATTTTTGTGTGTCTGTGTGTGGTTTCGGGAACTGACGGTCTGATAGACAACACCCCCATTTCCTCGCTGTCAAACCGTGACATTTGCCGCACCCCCCTGACCGTCATGCTAAGGCCGCTGGAGGGTTAAATATCTTTTTGTTTTTACAATATGAGCTTCATCAAGGGTGTGGGTTTTTTCAATGTTGCCATTTAAAAAAAAAAAAAAGCTTTAATTATCCTTTTACCAAAGCTTGTGAATTCCTAATAGCTAGACTTTGAAACGTACCTTCCCAGCAGATTTTGGGACTTACATATTTGCTGAAGCAGTCCTGTTGCAACAAACTCTGCACAAGAGCGCCCTCCATGGCAGGGAGCAGGTCCCGCGAGTGAAAGGCAGTGAGGCTGCCCCAGTTGGGGAAGAGCGTGTCTCCCTTCCCCCTGATGGAGGCCGGGGTGTCGGAGAGCTCCAGCAGGGGCAGGTAGGTCTCTTCAACTCCCTTCAGGACGGCGACGTACTGCCGCTCTGAGCTCAGCATCCTGCACCAGAGCAGGTACAGTTTACTGCGGGATGAATGGGGGGGGGGGGGGAGGAAGGGGAAAGGGAGTCGGTTAATGCGAATAAGAAAGTAAATAGTTTTTTTTAAAACGAGAAACAAACATGAAAGAAAAAGCAGAGATGTTGGAGGGAAGCCGTAGCAGCAGGCAGTGGACGGAGATCAAAGAGTCGATGATGAAAAAATGATCACAGATTGCACGCTGATTGATCCCCCACCAAAATGATGCGTGCATTTTCTTTTTCATCTCAGCCCCGCTTAATCTAATTTATTCAGTGGGTTGGATTTGGGAGTTTTAGGCCAAGCGTGCACTCAGCTAAACTTCCACATCCTCAAAGACAATTTATAGGAAAACGAGAGAGTAAAATCCTACACACCTCTGTGCAGTTGACCCGGTCCTGTCTGCTCCCATGTCCCTCTCCGTCCTCCCGAGCAGGACGTGTTGCCGCGGCGACCCTGTGTGATCCACCACTTCTTTGCTGCTGACCTCTACACCTCGGATCAGCACACCACCTCCACCTCCGCCTGCTACTCCGACGCCCCACCCGGGAATAGCTGCCGCCATGCTGGTGGCGATGACGGGGTCCGCCATGTTCTTTCGCCCCAGCCAAGACATGGGTGAGGAGCGGCTCGCCCCGCCGACGGGGGACTCCGGCTTGGGGGTGGCGGTGCCTTTGCGGGGGGCCAGGAGAGCCTGGAGGTCAAAGCTGGGGTGGCGCTTCCTGGGAGGCTTGGGAGGGAGCGGGGCATCTGGGGGCTGGAAGATCATTTACATGGAAATTTGTTAATATCTATTATTATCGGTACCCCTTGAATTTTTCCACGTCTGGTCACATTACAACAGCAAAATTGCAATCTAGTGGGATCTCATGTGATAGACCAACACAAAGTAGTGCTCAATAGGAGGGAGATAATGTGATTTATAGTAATGTAAATGAGCAGCCTTTGCTATCCCAGGTTGCTCCTCAGTTTTGGTTGAGAGTTCTTTTGAAATGTTGATGCCTGTTTTCTCATATATCTGGTTTCCTGAGCGCCAACATTTATAAATGGCCATTTATGTCTTTTTAATGTCTTTAAAATGTCTTTTTTAAGAAATTTTTTAATGTCTTAAAAAATGTCTTAAAATTTTTTAAAGACATTTTTAAGACATTTTTTAAAGTCTTGAAAAAGACATTAAAAAAGACTTTAAAAATGACATTAAAAATGACAAAAAAGACATTGAAGTCTTTTTTTGACTTTAAAGTTTTAGACATTGTTAGAAAGCGTATAATCCACACTTTTAGAATCTATAAATAACTCAAAATGCCCCTGAAAGCAGTCTTTGTTAGTTCCTCCAGGTCCCTGAACAGTTTTAGGAAATAATTCTTTTTAAACTTTGAGAGATGTTTTCTTTGAAATTTGGTTTCCTGAGTGCTGATTTTCAAGTAGCCATATCTGCCTCATTTCTTTTTAGATTTCCATGTGTTTATCATAATTGGAAAGCTTAGAATCTACATTTTCAGAATGTGTAAATAACCTGAAGAGACTTGCCCTTGATTGGAAGCAGTCATGTATATATCTGAAAAGTGTGGCCTGCATTTCTTTCTCATGCAGATCAGGGAACAACCTGTGGAGCCTTTAGTTAAGAAGAAAGGTGTTGAGCCCATGGGAAGTCCCATTTGCTGGTTGCTAAAAGTCCTGTAGGGGGCAGTAAACACATGAAAAATGTGCTCTGACCAGATGAACCCAAAATTGAATGTTTTGATCTTTATGTAAAGCACTGTGGGAGGTGGGAAAGTAACACTGCACATCACCACTGACACGTCTCCATTAAGAATCATGGTTGGTGGCAGCATCATGGTGTGGGGGCCCTCGTCTTCAGTCGAGATGAGCAAAGGGAGATGGATGGAACTAAATCTTATGAAAAAACCTGTGAAACCCCTGTCTCGAAAACCTGAGACTGGGCTGAAGGTTCACCTATTGCTGCTCTAGGAGCCATTTACTCCTCAGGGGAGAGAATACTAATGCTCAGTTTTTTAGATTTTCATGAAATAAATGTTGATGATCAAGTACCATTTGGTTTGAACTACAGTTATGCAATGATGTGTGCTGGTCTGTCACATGAGCACTGCAAAAGCACGAAATCACACCATGTATTTTTTATCCAGTTTCTAGTCCAAATAGCTTAGTACACTTAAAAAGAAGACAGAACAGATCTGATGCAATGAGGACAAACAGAAACCAACTCACACTTTTCTTCCCAGGATTCAGAAGGTTCTGCAGAAACTTCCCTCCACCGGCTCCTCCTGCTCCACCTCCGTTCCCCGCTGACCCGTCCCTCCGGTTCCCTTTGTCCTCTCCTATCTTCAGAGTGGAGCAGGTCTGAGGCCTGAACAGAGACGCCAGGGACCCCCAGGACTGCAGGCCCCCGTCCCCTCCTCCGAGTCCCCAGTCGCCCTCCCCGTCGGGCCCCACCAGGTCCCAGAAGGTGCTGCCGGACGGCGTCTTGGCCTTCCCCTGGCCGTGGCTCTGCGTCCGCTCGGAGTGGAGGAAACGAGGTTTGACCTGTGCCACGGTCCGCTGGTAGCGCTCCACTGTCTGGGTCCAGAGGTCCAGCAGGGCCCCGCCTCCCAGCTCCATGGCTAAGGACCGTGCGTCCTGGAAGCGAGACGGGGGGATCGGAGGAAGGGACGCCAGCGGGCAGGTGGAAGAGGAGGCAGTGGGGGAGGAAGGGGTGGAAGAGACCGCATCGCACCACTGGGTCGCCTGAATACAAGAAAGTACAGTTCAATTAAATTAAATCCAGTTTCATTGTTTAAGTAGCAGCCAGGTCTGAAACCTGGGAGTAGTGACCTGAACCTTCAAAGTCACATGAAGACAGTCACAAAGTCGGCCTTCCATCACCTGAAGAACATCTCCAGGATTAGAGGACTAATGTCTCAACAAGATCTAGAGAAACTCATCCATGCGTTTATCTTAAGTCACACTGATTACTGCAACAGTGTCTTCACAGGTCTGTCCAGCAAATCAATCAAACAGCTGCAGCTGATTCAGAACGCTGCTGCTGGTGTTCTCACTAAAACCAAGAAGTTAGAGCACATAACACCAGTTTTAAAGTCCCTGTAGCTCAGAGAATAGACTTTAAAATACTGTTGTTAGTTTATAAATCACTGAACAGTTTAGCACCACAATACATTAAAGATCTGCTGCTGTTGTATCAACTTTCCAGACCCTTCAGGTTCTGGTTCTGGTTCTGCTCTGCATCCCCAGAACCAGAACCAAACATGGAGAAGCAGCATTCAGCTTCTATGCACCACAAATTTGGAACAAACGTTCTTAAAACTGCAAAATAACTGAAACACTGAGTTCCTTTAAATCTAGACTAGAGTTGATTTCGAACCATAACAAATGAAATATTGACCAACACATTTGATGTTTATTCAATTGTTGACTGTATTGTGTTTTCTTTGAAACTTCGTAATTTTTAAAACTGGAATGATTGATTGAAAGCAGGGTTAGACAGGGGAAGACGTTGATGCCTCAGCGTCGTCCTGCGCCGTGTTACCTCTGTCAGTGTGGACAGCAGCCTCTGGGTGTTGTCCAGAGTAGTCCAGCAGTCGGACAGACAGTGGGACATGTCTCTCAGCTTCTCCCTCACTGGGGGGAGTCGGATCTGGATGTCGCTGAGGCCGGCCCAGTTCAGCTCGCACCAGCCCTCCAGATCGCTGAGCACCGACAGAGTGTCGCTGTGCAGCTCCTGAAGCAGGACGAGATATTTAAGTTCAGTTCAATTCTACATTGATAACAGGTTATTTATTATTAATTTGGTCATTTTTCAAACCCTTTTCAAGGACTGGTTATTTTGTTAGACACAAATCAGTCAAAACATTATGACCATTGTTAGAATTAAATGGGTGGGTGGGCGTCCTGAGACGTCTGCTTTTGGGCTGTTAGCAATAAATCCCATAAAGCCTTGTGGCTTGTGGCATCTCTGTGGATTAGATTTCCCACAGACATACGCCCTCAGATGAGCAGACTGGATCTAATTCCCACTATGAGCTCTTATGACGTCTGATGATTTTTGATAACTTTTTCTTTTTTTTGCGTGAAACTGCTGCCGTTGCACTAATAGTGTTTTTTTGTGTCACTCACGTTGGCCGTTTCTCTGAACGTTCTGAACTTCTGCTGCTTCAGCGACAGCCTGCTGAGAGACAGAGGAGGGTCCTTGTATTCCTCCAGCTGGGACTGTACTTGCTCAATCTCCTTGTCACACTGTGGGTCAAAGGTCGACAGAGACAGGAAGGGAGGGTTAGTGGTGGAGGGGGCATGAGTCACTGTACGCAACATGAAGTCACAGGACAAGACGGCAGAAGAGAGGAAATGAAGACGAGGAAATCTGAGGCTTTTGCTACTGGTGTTGTTTTGTCTGGCTGTGATGTTGACAGGAAGTGAAAAAAAAACGTGAGAAGAAGAAGTGAGTCTAGGAGTTTCCACCAAGTCCATTTTGAGCGCGAAAAAGGGAAGTAACAGCAAGGATGAACAGTAGTATAAATCCCCGGTAAGTAGAAGTAAAAAGTTGAGGACAAAAGTTTTCCTATCCTGATCATTGCCTATATGCAATTCCTCTCAATTCTCATCTTCCTTCATTGCTCAGTCTGAAGATTTCTCCCATTGGCTTGGATCCCTCTGGTAGAATTTAAGCCGGTCCAATCATTGAACAGAATAAGTTGTGATATTGATTTTCTGTGCTGTTTTAGAATTTTAGACTACCTGCCTTTGGTTTTAGTAATGGCAGCGGAGGAAGTCATACGTTCACTTCCTCCGCTGCCATTAGCCACGCTTCCAAATATTGAAGAAACACTTTGCTCTGCATTTCTTTCTTCGCACAGGGGGATGGTTATTTACAGTGCAGGCAAGTTCCTATTTCTGAGAGACATTACATATGTCATGGCCAAACATTAGCGATTGGGCCAAATGTTTGTGACTAGGCAGATGTCAGCGATTGGGCCAAACATGAGCAATTAGGTAAAGTTTAAAACCTTAACAGAGTTCATGCCTCCAGCTATCAATTGTTTGTTGAGGGCCAAGACCCTGTGTACGAAGCAAAGCACAGAACCAGAGGCTGGTTTTTACCAGGCTAACGTTAATCTTTCAAATGATTGTTTTGGATAAATCGTTAAAAAAAAAAAAAAAAAAGTGAAAAAAGAAAAACCAAACACACCTTTTCCAGTTTGTCCACCATTCCTGCCAGTCGTCCCAGTGCTTCCAGGTCACGACCTCGCCGGTTGGAAACCTGGACGAGCCGATGGAGGGCATCGTCCACGCCGTCGTAGAGTTGCGAAGTGGCATTGAGAGCAGCCCTGTAGCAGACCAGAAAGTTCCGTTTCTGTTTTTCATTCCAAAAATCAAGTTTATTTCCATCTGGTTTGTATTTCTGTCACAACTTTTCTAAGTTTACCAGAGAGTGGTGTTTAAACCCAACTCATCTCAACCTAACAATATTTCAAACAGGAGCCATTCATGTCATTTAAGACCAAACGAGTCACAGAGGTGGTCCAATTACAGCGGTTGTGTTTGTCATGACCTTGCTGTAATCGAAAAAGTCTTGTTGCTTCGTCTAATTATCAGCCTGATTAAAAATCTTAACCCTGAGCGGAGCGTTTTAACAAAGAAAGCAAACTGCAGCAGGTCGGAACATTTTGCTTCTGTGACTGAAGAATAAAAAAAAAACATGACACATTCAGGCAACTGTTTTCGAACCAATGACTCTTAACATGTTTCAACTTCTGTATCCACAACAAACTAGAAGACTGTGTGCTTTGATGTGAACATAGATTTGTTTCCTCTGACTCCTCTTTATGTGACACCTAAATGTTTAAAATTTTCATTCAGACTTTAATACCAGGCCAGGACATCTTGAGAAAACACATAAAAAAGTTTTCAATTGATTATTTGATCTTTTAGAGAGAAGAAACTATTTGAACCAACCATCTGAGTCTTTGCCATCACTGTGGAGGCATGTTAGCTCTTCCTAGCAGAATTGTTTTTGTTTTTTACCACATCTGAGAGCTTTGTTTGTTTAAGGTCACACCACAACATCTCAATTGGATTTAAGTCTAGACTTTGACTAGGCAATTCCAAAACCTGAATTAGGCCTGTTTTTGACTAAAGGAGTCAAACTTGTGGTTAATCACATAATTCATGATTTTACAGTAGATGGTAAATACCTCTTCAGGTTGGTTTTGATAACTTTATTCGTTTTTCTTGTTTTAACAACCTAAAACATTTAGGTTTCAAAAGAGAAGAAACATAAGAGGAAACCGTTTTTTATATCCCTGCAGTCGTACTAATGGCATATACAACCAGTTTCAGTTTGAAGTAGTTCCCTATAAACTCTTGCTATATGAATGGTACAAATTGTGTGTCGGTGGGGGTAGAGGGTGTTGTGGCTGAACCACTAACTACTTTCAGAATGTCGTAGGAGGATGCATCATCAGCTGAGTGACAATGCCAACACTAACAAACAAAGCTCAGTTTGTTATCTGCCTGGTTTTCAATGCGTAGTCTGTAATGATATATGGTCAAAGACTTGACAAGATGTAAAGATAGCCAAAAAACCGGGTGCCATGTCTGATAAGAGGGACAAAAACCTGCAGTACATACCCAAAACAAAAAGGCCAGATGTTCTATTGGCAAAAAAGTAACAGACCATGTGCCTCAAGTTAAAGTATTCACACCCCAGTCATGAAGCAACTAAAAAGTTCAGCGGGTTTTATGGGATTATGT